AGGCTGAAAATAGCAACTTTCAAATGATATTATAGCAAAATCTATTCATTTCTGAGGTCCTACTTATGGAGACTTTCGATCAGCATTTCATAAGCTATAAAACATTACAGCTGTAGTCAATTTTTTTGAAATTATTTTTTTAAGAGAGAGAGAGAGAGAGGAATTTCCAACAAATTTTTACCGCGCCGCAGTTAAAGAATTAAATTTCCGCTAAAATGGCAGAATCGCGAATAAATTCCTTTGCAATTAAAGTTCCATACGCAGCTTTTTTTTTTATTCATCAGCATATCTATGCGGGAGTATCGCGTAACAGCGCCAATCTCCCCTCGTTGATTCGCTCTTATCAAACGAGAAACGCTCATTCACGCCTTTCCCTTTAATGAAACGGACCCTCGGCCGTCCCTTTCTCCTTGCTTCCCTTCTTCCGCGGCGGAAACGTTTTCCACTTGTTTCCATCGCGGCCGGCAGGCCGGACGCGTGCGTGTTCTTCCTCGTTACATACGTCTGTACGCACGCACGCACGCACGTACGTATGCACGCACGTATGCACGCGAGTACACGCGCACGCTCGCGTGGGCGTGCATTCTCGACTTGCGTGTGTGAGGGGCTGTTACGACACGGCGGTTCCGTTGCATGCCGGAACGTGAGGTTAAAGGAACGCCTCGCGCGAACAGGTTCCCTTCTTTTCCACGACGCCGACCGCCGAAGGGAGTAGCGAGTTTCATCAGCGCGACGACATAGAGACTGACAATGGACCGCGTTCTCATCGCGCGTTTAAACGATAAACGTGAAGGATCCTCCGGGAACGGTACAAGTGAATTTCAAGTACGCGAATGCGAGAATCTTATTAAAAAAAAAAAAAAAAAGCTACTCTGATATTTATTCTAAAATCTTTAATCCTGGATTTGTATTAGAATGTATATGTTATATTTAAAAGTGACAATGTGTAACATATAATTACACGGAAAGATTTTGTTGATGTAAAAATTTAGCTAGATCTGAAAATAATTTTTTTGGAGTATCGAAATAATTATCCAGAGAAGTATGATGAACAATGCTGTGAAAAATTTTTGACATTCTAGCAACTAGCTTGGGCCCACATAATTATTTTGATAATCTAACAAAATTATTTTCAGATCTGTATCTGTGTAAGCTGAATTTTTAGGTACCTTATCAAAATCGTTCTTTCTATAAAAATTGCGACGTACGAAGTATGTCTGGTTTTATTAGGAAAAAAAATTCATAAAATGCGAAAGTTTCCCGATTCGCGAAGTTGCCTATAAAATAGCAAGTATTTTCGTCGTCGCTGGATATTAATGTTTAAATGGAGATAAGATACATAGAGCGGGTTTTCCGTTGCAGGATTCTGCCTCGATAGAACGATACTTCATAGAATTTTTCCGAATATACGCTTCTCGTTACCGACGAACGTCGCGCTTTGATAAATCGCCCGTGTTTGCCATTAGTCGTCGTTTCCGTCTCGATGAAAAATGCGGCTTGCGCGCTAATAAACAATACAACGTCGAATGCGGCGCGGCCGTTCTAAAATTGTGAACGTTCCCACGAAGCCGAGTAATTTGTACCGTTCGAGACGCGATCGTTAAACTCTTTCGTGCGATTTAGCAGGTTTCTTGCTGGCAAGCAAAACGAACTCTAGCAACCGGTCAGCAGTCGTCAAAGACTTAGATGTTCGTGTAATTCGAATCAAACCGTGATTATTATTAACTCCTCGCGGGACAACACAGTTGCACGATTACTCACGGAATTGATGAAATGCCATACGAATTCAATACTATTTTTTTAACGTTCAGAAGGAGAAGCAGGAAAATGGAACAGATATAAAAATAGAGATTTGTAAGTTTTATTTATATATATACGATGTTTAATATTTGCATTGCTTTATTATATCAGGATATAATTAATACGTGTAGATCGTTACGAAGCTGGAAATGAGGGAAATATCAGAAAAATTGAAAGTGGTCAGGAAAATCAGGGAAAAGTCAGGCAATTTCCTGGAAAATTAAATTTCTTTAAGGAGTTAAGGCTTTAAAGAAGTTTAATATACGTACATCACACTCGCAATTTTGGAATACTATATCAATATAACAATTAAATGCAAGCTTGAGTCAGTAACATTAATAGTAATTTACATTACTATGTTAAAGTGCTCTCTCAACCAAATATTATTGAAAGTATAAGGAAAAGTCGTGAAATTTTGTATGAAAATCAGGAAAAAAAAGTTACGGAATTTTAGGATGAGGAATTTATGACAACTCTAATATACGAGTGTGTATGAAATATAAAAAAATACTTTGTAAGTAAAGTTGATAATTTGTTTGAATTCTTGACTTATGTAATCCATTTTATAAATCATTGTTATCATTTTTGACACACAATTATTAATATAAAGAATGTGACAAAGTGACTTTAAGGGCGAGGCGAGCAGTAAATTAGAGTGAACTAGAGGTTTTCAAAGTACAATAGAATATCTCGCGCTGCCTGTGTATCAGCTGTGAAGATTTTGGTGTTGCGAGCTTTTGTTCTCAAAGTTGTCGCGCTTGAACTAAGTGAGTTTTCCTTCTCCGAGAGGTCGGTTGTCAACGGAGTCAGGTGCCGGGCAGAGGGACGAGCTTAGATACGACGCTCCGCAGTCGCGCACGCAGTCGGCGTGGCAAAACCACAAGGCACCGCTCAGAGCGCGGACGTAGGACAGTGCATTTAGGGTCGATGCCCTCCTCTGCGCACCGTCGATGTTCGGTGCTCTACGTATTTTCTCTTTATCTCCTTCTTTCGCTCTTTCTCCCCACATCGTGGGCTTTCCGCGCCGCCTCTATCCTCGTCCGCCTTGTCCTCGGCCCGGATACTTGTTGGACGGTCCTTAGAGACCTCGCGAGACTGCGCCTCTTCGCGACGATCGAAAGAATGAATATTGCCCCCGCACGTTTCGCTCTTGTCGTAGGAACGAGGGATAAAAGAAAAAAGAAAAAAAAAAACAAACAATGGAGGAGAGCGAAGATCGATTCTCTCGAGCTTATAAGTCCGAGCGCGCGGCACGCGATTATCCTTATTAAATTAAACGCGACTAATTCCAAGGGCAGGCTGATAAACGACTTATTTGCTTAATGACATAGAAGCAGGTAATTGCGATCGCCGTATAACAGTTTGTTCGAAGCGTTTCGGCGAGAGCGAGGTAATCTCTGGGAATCGCGATGTTACTCGGAAGCAATTACTTTGGCCATCTGCTTTTCCTCATACAGACCTGCGGCCCAAATCTCGGCGTTATATGAAAATGTTATTTTTCCGCGTCTTACTTGTCTTACGCGAAAAGTCTTTAACGCTGAAGAGATATTCAAACCTTCGCGCTATGTAAATGTATACGTTAGATCGACAGTAAAGGAATCCCTTTTTTTCGCCGTATATAAGCACGACCTTGTCCAAGAGAGCCGTATACTGTTATTATCCACTTTATTAAATTAAGCGAGAGCGATACAGAAAGAAGATAATGCAAGACGTGACTTGGAATTAATATCCCAACTTTTTAATGCATTTAAGCACTCTCAAAAGGCGATAAATTATCTCACGTGTAATTTAATACGCTGTACGTTGAAGTAGCACGCGTTATATCCACCGCTTTTCAACCACCTCGGTAATTTTTCAAGCCTTTAGTTCCCTCCAAAGCGCGCAATACGCTTTTCGCATGTCTAAACATTCGCAAAGGAATTTTGGTAATTTGACATAATCTTCCTGTATCTTAAATTACTTTTGCGCGGAAAGAATAATTTTGCTGAAGTGTCGGAAAATTGAGCTTGGTGCACAGGTCTGAAATATTTTTGTTGAACTATCAAAATATATAATTATGAATATATCTCAAGCATGATGAGCAATGTAGCGAAAAATTTTGACGTTCTAGCATTCGAGCGTCCAACATAATTATTTTGATGATCCAACTCAACTGTTTTAACTCAGATATATCTAAATTTTTGCAAAGCTATTATTTTCGAGTAGAGATAGTAATAGATAACAATATGAATAAATTTCCTTATTTTTTGTTGATATAGCATAACAATGAATTTTTTTTTATCTTATACTAATTTGGAAGTTCCGATTTTGATTAAGTAAATTTTATGTACATAGAAAAAACGATTTTGCTGAAATATTAAAAAATTTAGCTGAATACAGATCTGAAAATAATTAATAAATTTATACCAGTATGATGAGCAATTGTTAGAAAAAGTTTTGACATTCTAGCAACTAGTTTGAGCGTTTTACATAATTACTTTCATGGTCCAATGTGTGCAATTTAGATCTGTGTCTAAATTTTCAACAAATCCATTCTTTCAAAGATAGCTAAGATAATAACATGAACAAATTCTCCACTTTTTTGTTGACGTAATATAACCAGTTTGCCCTACATAATTATTTCGATGTATTAGTGTAAACAAAATTATTTTCAGATCTGCGTTCAGCTAAATTTTTAGGTACTTCAGCAAAACCGTTCTTTCCGTAAGATTTCTCATTTTTCCAATTACCTTCAATTCAAGTCCAACCAACTCCAATCTTGAACCTTTCAATAAAGAACGACGCGTATCGCGCGAGAACGGTGCGCTCTAAGGATCAATGAACGATTGTTCCTTAATCTCGCGGTGCTCCACAGGTTGCAGTCGCGCGTGTATTTTTCGCACGCATTACTTACCCTCGCTTCATCTCGGATTCTAATCGAACGTACTTGAATCTTGATATCAAATTATCTTCGCTTTCCGCCGGCTGCTACCGCCGTCGCCATCACCGTTGTTGAGAATCGCTCTCGCGTCCGTATAGTCGCGCCGAACGGGTTTCCTTGTTTAACGAGTGACGCTCGAGCGATTTCAGAGGGATTGCGCTAAACAGCGAGATATAAATCCCTCTTGGCGTTTGCTTCGCTGAGGCACTTCGGTGAATCACACGACTCAATGATCCTTAATCTCGGAATGAAATCGAACGGCTCTTTCTTTCTGTTGCAGGAATATCGCGGAGGATCTGATTTTGTCGGATGAAGAGAGCGAGGATGAGGAGAACAAGGTAACATATCTGAAGAGACGTTTAATCTTTTAATGTATTGTTATTAAACATATATATGTTAATGATAATTATTTATTATTATTATTATTATTTTACGAAATTAAGTGAATCATCAGTTACTAAATTAAATATCGTTTTATAATATTAATTGTTTGCAATATTATATAATAAAACAACGCGTTTTCTGAAGTAAAATTTTGAAACTATATAAAAGTTGAACGATTAGTTGCACTTTCACCTTCAAGTTTGTTTTTTCGTTGACTTTTTGCGATACCGCAAAGTACTTTCGCAAACCGATACGATCGAATCGCATTTGACGAAAAACTAAGTGGCCGTTCATCACGACAAGAAAGATTCCGTTCCACTTTATTTCACGGCGAAATTATTGATAGCGGTCTTCTTATTCCCAGGAAACATCGTCGAGATCGACGAGAGGAAACAGGAGTCCGGATCTCACAGTCGTGTAAGTACCTCATTCATAACTTTAACTAATCTTTGCTGTTTACGGAAATTAACTAGGATCAAGGAATTAATAATAAAAAATATGTTTGCTGTTTCTTGAAATTATTTTATTATACTTAAAGATTTTTCAAAAAAGAGAGTTTTTAAATGTTTGAAACACTTCTTTTGAAAGTTTTTTTAACGTTCTTGAGAAGATATCTCAAGATATTTTCGAAATCGTGCTTTTGACACAAACATTTATAATTAATGTTTTAAATAATTCAATACGAAAAATAGAAAGAGAATTTTTTTGGAAATCTTATATCTTTCTTAAGTGCCTGCACATTAATTTTCTTCGAGTATATACACGTGTATATACAGTATGAAACATTTTGTAATTGTGTTAGATTGGTCTTTGTTAAAACTTTTGTGTTAAATTTTTAATGTATCCGAGTATTAATTGAACATGTGATTGCGTTATTTGAACATTTTATGTTAAATTAATATTTCTTGTAGTATTAAATATCCACATTTCCTATAGTAATTAAAATAACACAATTTATAAGCAAGTGAACAATTAATATAAAAATAATATTTTTAAAACGTAAATCCTAAAATAAATGAATAAAATGTATTAATTTAATTTATTTTAAATGTTAATTTTACGGAAAAAATATGCTTTTATAATTTACTTACAAATTGTGTCAGACTTGTGTTTGTTATTTTGTTTTTACATAATTTTTTACATATTCGTGTTACTTCCTGATATACATATTTTGTGTTAAATAAAAAATTTGAATGGTCTGGGACATGTGAAACGTGTTAAATTTAATATAAATTTTCCAATTATATATCGTGATTTTGAAATTGAAAAATTTGTTTCAATTGGCCAACAAGAAATTTCTACGATTTCCAGTGTCTCGGTACCTTTATCGAAAATCACGATGTCCAATTTTGAGCATCGTTTGATCAAACATCCTTACAGTCTATCGACACCATTGACCATGATGACTTCGGCGCCGCCGCCTTTGACACCTATGTCGCCCATGATCATGTCACCCGTGGGCCCATTGTCACCCTCGCGACCGATCAGCCCGTCGAGATACCCGTCGCCGCCGCCGAAACGGATGACACCGGAGCGAATGCTGTCTCCTCCAGCGGGTGTCAATCATCCTCTGCCATCCGCATGTTCCCCGACGATGAATCCGGTTGTCGTCGGCCAACCGTCGAGTCCAGCCGAGGCGCCGCATAGCTCTGGAAGCGCCAGCTCGAGCTCGGATTCCGGTTCAGATTCCGGCTCGGACAGCAGCGATGATTCCGAGGACGAAGACGACCTGACCTCGGCACCGCCGCCATCCAAGGGGCCTACAACACCGCCCTCGGTTTCACCGAAGCAGGACAATCTGGTGGAACCGCCGCCTGCGGAGGAACCTCGTCGTTGGGACCTAATTTCTTTTCTGCAGCAGAACGGCAATCAGAATGCCGAATCGAAACCTGCTCAGGTAAGACTGTTTACATTAATTATGGAGCAATATTTGAATTATTTCTTCTCAGTCTGTTCGTTTCTTGTCAGAGACGTGATGACCTTTTCTACATAATATATATCTTTTTATATGTGAGACTTAGTTTTTTAACTCCGGATCCGAATGGTCATGTCAGAAGAGATTATTATGACAAAGGTGCTCTCGTCATTGCCTTCCGAAGATAATCAAATAAAATCTAATATATACTATATATTCTGTGGATTTGAACTCGGATCTTTGGCACAGAAAGCAATCCCGCAATTCACTATACCACGATCATCACAATTTTGTTAATATTATATGTTGTAATATTTAAAAATCTGAGGAAATGACTTTTAAGAAAGAGATTTTAAAACTTTATAGAGTATACGACTTTTATATAAAACTATAGATATGTTTAAAAGTAAAAAGTTATTTCTTAGCTCAGTGTGGAACAGTAGATTAAAATCTAAAGATTGTAAATCGATCTAGTTCTTAGTGCCTAATTCTATATATTATAAACTAAACATATACAATAATATAATAAACATTTCAACTTATAATTATGAAGTCAGCGAAATTAATAAAAACCTCCGTAATATAAACAAAAACAAGTCAATAGGCACATACAAATCAATAGAGTATAATTTTGTCGTAAAGTTATTTAGATAAGATTACAAATATGTCAAAAAAGTCGTTTCATCGTATGTTTAAATTATGTAAGAAATTATGCCAGAGAATTTATTTTAAAAAAGGGATTGCACTGTTTTTACAGGATAATGCCAGGCGGGAGAATACGCATGAAATAACGACGGAGACCAGATCACACAGGGAACAGTCTCATGATTGGCAGCTCGGCGAGACCTTGAAGAGGTCTCATAACATGAGTTCTCTCAGCGATAGCGATCATCATTCTGATCAGGAAAAGAATCAATTGGTTGAAGATAATCGTGCTCAGACGGAGAAGCCAAAAGTGGCCGATACTAAGAAACGCGGACGACCCAGGAAATCCATCAAGAGTCCGAAACGCAGTCACCGAACGTCGGACGATAAACTGAAGAACAACAAGTCCCGCAGCCGGACGAGAACGGTTGCCACTCCTGGCAAGAAAAAGCTACCCAAATCGAAGGAAACGGTGACCTCAAGTGACGACGACAATGACTCGAAATCGCAAAGTGATTCCGACAGTGATCGTCGACTTACCAAAGTGTCGGCCGTGGTACCAACAAGAAACGAAAAGAGATCGAGACTGAGTGTGTCGTCTAGCGACGACGAGAGTTTGCCACCGAACAAGAAAAATAATAATAGTGCCTCCGAGGACGACACCGCGCGATGGACAAGAGTTCCCCCCATCAAGCGGAGCAACCTGTTGGACTCGCCGAAGAAGCAGGATCAGAAGAAAAGTTCTGCCAAAGGCAAGCCTAGGCAGCCCAGATCTAGAGTGACCAATGTAACCGGCGGTTCGGATTCCGATAGTGAATCAGAGATGTCTGTAAGGAGTAATCGCATCAAAGTCGCTCGGTAAATTATTTTTCATACAATTACTTTAATTATCTCTTTTTTCTTCTTTACTAGATTTATATATTTTGCACATGATACAGAAAGATATAATTTCTTTTAAATAATAAGATAAAATAATAATATAGCAATTTCATCGACATTTATGATTTATTAATAATTTAATTTTTTGTTTTTCGGTTTTCTCGTTTTCGCCTTTTGTTTTTATTTAGTAAGCAAGACTAATAAATATTTTATTTTTAATAAAAATATTCTAAATATCAGAGTGCCACCCAGACCTCGAGCACCACCAACGAGGACGACCTCGCCTGATAACTCTGATAGCGATAACAGCCCGGCGTCAAAATTGCAAGAGGATGACGCCGGCAACGTGCAGGACAAGAAGAAAAGCGACACGCTGCGCCACGTCTTCTCGACGTCGAGAGGCATCGGGAAGACGGGTGGTAAAGGTGGGAAAGGTGGTAAAGGCGGTGGTAAATGCGGTATCTACGTAGAGGAGTACACGAGTAATTCTGCTACGCACACACCGACGGGCGGGGACAGTCCGTACAAAAGACCGTCCTCGCGGATGTCTAGTGGTGGCAACAATCCTCTCCTGCGCTCCCCTCCAGCGCTCACACATGTGAACGGCGTACCAAGTCTTATGTGCAAAATCGATCTCAGCAGGATATCTTTGCATCTTTTTTCGAATCTATCGAGAGGACAAGAGCTCAGACAACGCACGGAATTGCCTGACACTAGGCCATCTTCGAGACAAAGACCATCCTCCAGTTTAGCGACTTTGCAACCACCGAGGTCGTCTACACCAGAGGAGGGTGAGATCATCGATACGCCGCCTCCGCAACAGCAGGTCGTGTTGGATCGTGCGAGAATCCATCGTTCCGACGGATTGCTAGGCGAGAGTGATGGCAAGATTTCACGTTCTGCAATCAAGACCCAACCGATATCGTCGGACTCGAAGAGCGGCGGTACTGTTCTTGGAGGTGCTGGTAGTGCTAATAGTGTCGGTACGCTTGGTAGCGCGCCTAAGAGGAAACGTAATCCGAGTTGTAGTTCCGTGTCTAGTTTGAGCCCCGTTCAGTGTTCGGTAGATGCGAAAGTTAAGAATACATCCGAACATAAAGACAGAAGCCGCAAAAGACAACGGAGGCATGCCAACGACGGGCTAATGTCCAGTCAGGTATGGAAAAAAGTGAAAAACTTGTCTGTGAACTCTGGCCTGTGAAAACTCGGTTGTAGTATTTTTAGCTATAGATTTATATATATATATATATA